CACGTAGCTGAAGACTTTTTGCAGAAATATTGCCGTTAACCCCAAGTACCATTMATACTAATACGATATTAATAACTATTATATATAATTTCTACAATCTAAATAATCCTCATATTGTACGTACATTTGTTATACTAAAGATATAAAAATATATAATTAAAAAAATTATTTCTACAAAAGACTTGGTAATCTTACCTCGTTCATATTTCAGGTAAAAACCAACTGGTTCAACGTTTCTTTTTCTACGGGAACGCGAACTTGTCACGAACGACACTCGAAGCATCCTATCACGTGACTTGAAGCTCCATGGTAACGAATGATCACGTGACGTCTGTGTAGTTTTCCCATCATCGATTGCAAAGAAATCCCCGGATGCAGCAAAATTGAGTTTCACTATGCGGACATTGATTTGAAATCCAGTCTGTACTACGATAGTCCAATTGCACTTTTTATTGCTGGCATAAGATGCCGGATACCCGGGACTTTGTACGTATCCTGCATTGTGATTATRATCGAAGTAGCCAAATGTAACGTTAACGGTATGTAATTGACCGTTACAACCTGAAAGAAAACGATTTAAGCTACTGAATACTTCCACTGTTACCATGACACTGATTACAAATCGCTTTTTTTTACCCCTCTCTTGCCCTACCCGGCTCCCCGGGATCCAAGTGATCCCCTGCAGGTTCCCAGGTATAAATGTTTCTCACCTCCAACAACCCTTTGTATGTATGGAAGAGAGCTTGGATTAATCGTCGTTGAAACTGGTACAGTCGTGGGCGACGGTGTTGAAGACGTTAGACCTGAAACCATTTGAACCAACACACAATATCAGGCCAGTTGATGCACAATGTATAAATTCTATTGATATTTTCAGAGCCACAAACAAAAAATATACAAAAAGTATGTTGAGGGTTCTTCAACCGATCGGTTAAAAACCTCGTTGATCAGGACACCAAATGGATATCGAATACAGTGGTCATATTAACGGTTTTACTCCGACGAAGGATTAACATCCGAAACGTCAGTAAGTTATTTCCCATACTTTTTTACGGTGTTAAACTTATCTTCTTTACACAACTGTTTCTTTAGAAACACCGACGCAGCTCACACTAGTTTACCGCTAGTTCCCACCATATTAACGGTATGACCGTGTTAGACGTGGTCGTAATAAGGGGGTGGTCGTAATAAGGGGTGGTCGTAATAAGGGGGTGGCCGTAATAAGGGGGTGGTCGTAATAAGGGGGTGGTCGTAAAGCGGTGTTTAACTTACCCGACGCTTCATATTGAAGCTTGAAGCCTTTCATCGAGACACTCTGATCGGCGTAAAACCTGATCCACATGACGTTCGTCGATGCTGTCAAGGTATACGAAATATTTCCACTAAACCCATCAAATGGAGTAAGCCTGGAACTATACTGTCTTTTGCCATCACGTGCTTCAAAAGTGTCATAGTGCTTCTCTGAAAGAAAAACACCGAATTTACACATAAACAACAAATGCCCCTYTTTCATTATGACGTCATTTCCGTCATTAAATTACCTATATTGAAGGAAATAAACTTTATCCTAGCTTTAGAACCCGGTTGTAAGTTGAGGACCCAGACACAATGAATCTTGTTGGGATARTTTTTCGGCCATGACGGAGACCAAATGTACCCTGTCATTAGATTGCCGCTAAAGTAGTTTGGTCTTGATATCGGGTTCAAAATGGCGTAGTTACCAAAGTAAATAACAGACGAGCAGCCTRTGGATGAAAGCACGCAGTTTAAATGTGTTGAATGTATACTGAGTGCGATTTTATGAAAATAGACTTGAATCAACGAGTTAAAGTAGAATCTACGAGTTATAAAACAAGAGTTAACATCAACAGAGTCGACATACTTTGTCGGACTGGAAGCCAACCTGGAGCTGAACTGGGTAGTATTGCTGGATCTTAAAGCAACAGATATGATATTAGAGATTATTATCATCATAATCATCATTATTATCATCACCATCATCATCATTATTGTCTACTTACTTGTAGCGTAGACAGATATTCTGTATGTTCCTCCACAAATCTTAGTTGGGTCTCCAACACACGGTGTTGCACACTGATTTTCGGAGGCGTTGCCATATTTATTATACTAAAGATAAGATAAATTCAAATAGGGATTCTTTTCAAGCATGCAGTACAGTACAATTAGTATATAACTTACATGATTGCCACAGAAACATTCTGAGCCCCAATGCAGTCCACTGTAGTCAAAGCCCTTTTCACGGCAATACCGAAGACACTTAACAGGAGTCAAATCTAAAACACACAAAACAATTAACGATGATAGAGATATATGTGTACAACGAAGACCAGCGCCTCGAACTTCAGTAATATTTTAATCTTTCTCCGATGTATAAACGTTTTATAAGTGTAGCTCAGATGTCACACCGACGTAGCTCCGCTCAAACACCGATGCACCTCCGATCAAACACCGATGCACCTCCGATCAAACACCGATGCACCTTCGATCAAACACCGATGCACCTCCGATCAAACACTGACCAAACTCCGATGTTACACCGACGTCGATCTGATGGAACACCGATGCAGTTCCGATGTTTCATCGACGAAGCACCGATGTTACATCGACGTAGCTCCGATGTTAAAGCGACGTAGTTCTCATGAAACACCGACACAACTCCGACGTTATACCGACGTAGACCCGAAGAGACACCGACACAGCTCCGATGGAACAGCGACGCAGCTCCGAWGTTACAACAACGCAGCTCGACGAGGCAGAAGAAAAAGGCATCATAGAGCTGTGTACTTATGTTACCTTGCATGGTGACTTTGTGAGGCATTGCCTGGGGCTGACCGTCTTTGTAACATCCAACATAGGCGTTATCTAGAAACATTATCATAATTACAATAAACATCATTGTTAATATAACCATAAGAGTCATTATCATCCGTCTGTGAAACAATTACTACTAGWCARTGTTTAATRGTAACTATTAGGGTGTAGTAGGCTACCAAAAGGYAAAATCAATACCGTGTTTGCCTAATATCCGACTTGCGAATTACGCATCAATAGTCACATACAAAGGAATCAAGACGAGGCGCCGTGCTTTTTTGAGAAAAATATATTGTCTTTAGCACGGCGCCTCGTCTTGATTCCTTTGTATGTGACTATTGGTGCGTAATTCGCAAGTCGGCTATTAGTTTGTCCCATGTCACCATTAACATTTGTTAGTATGTAATATTTTAGTTGAAACAAAGAAAAAACAAGCAAAGTAACATCTGCTAATAACTAGTAATATACTTACTTACTTACTGTGTCGAGCTAGCTCGGCTAACACTCGACACAGTTCTCCTCCACTCATTAGTAATATACTAACTACTAACTAGAGTAACGTCCAATAATAATGTACTATATATACCTCCACAAATCACGCCTACATCTTCACTGTGATCACATGGATTGTAACCCCAACKACTACGAGAACACGAGGATAAGGACGATTCGGTTCCACTACACTCGACATTGCTTAGCCATATGCGACCAGTTCCTGGACCAAAGCTTTGATGGTATGAAACAACGCCAGAGAAACCAAGCTCGTAACACACGACCTTGAAAAAATACAGACACAATACATCGTTTAAGATCTTGGTAATAATGTATTGCATGGGCGGATTCAGCTGGTGGGTGTAGAGGGGGTGCACCCACTCCTGAGAGCCCTGCACCCCTCCCTGAGGAAAATCCTCGATCCGCTCCTGTATTGAAAGCCTTTGATTATCATATTAGTAACTATCGTTCGTGKGCTAGATTTACCTGAGCATCTTTATAGCCCCATTTTTCCTCACACACTGTGCCCCATTCCCCGTTATGGAATATCTCCACTCGGCCTTCCTTCATGGACCGTCCACCAACCAAACGAATGACYCCCTCGGAAGCACCTTGCTCTATATAATACAATCATTAACCTTTGTTAATATAGACTGTAAGATGGAAGGGGGTTCGAGGATGAGGATAGCAGTGAGGGTAGGTTGGAGGGTAAAGAGGAGGTAGGAAAGTTTGGAGAAAGATGGGTAAGAAGGAGGGTAAGGGAGGCAAGTCGGTTAATAGATGGTTAGATAGAAATGTGGTTTAATAGTAAATCGAGCGAAGCTAGATAAGAGTGAAAGCACAAATCTCAAGAGACAATTGAAATAAAAGTCCTCTTTAGAACAAATTAGAAAAGAGAGAACTAAAAAAATACAATCAAACAAAGAGAAACTATTAAAGGTTGAAAATAAATAAAAAAGACATATGAAATAAAMGTAAATAGCAATAACAACAAAATGTAGTACTGACCTTTACATAAGACGCCAGCGTACCCATACTGACATTTATCAGAAGCGCCCCAGCCAGAATGACCGCATTCACCCAAAGAATCCTCGTTACCACGGCAACTTACTTTACTCAACCAAATCTTATTGGATGTTGGTGCAGTTTCCTTAGTAACCGCCTCCACTCCTAGAAAACCAGCTTGTCGACAAGCAACGTGGGCGTCGTGCAAGTCCCACTGGTCATAACACACCATGCCCCATATGCCGTATTTGTATACTTCCACCAAACCCCTTCTGCTGYTRTTTTTGTGGCCAGCAAGACGTAKAGGAACAGTGCTTCCACCGGCTGTCAATCAAGTTTTATCAAATTCATTAATAATTCATAAGGTTAAACAAAATGGAAAATCTATGTTATATGAGATTTATAAGAGATTTGTCCTGATTTACATACGACTTTAACATCGTTTTTCTCTTAAAAATGATATTTTATCTTGAATTTTATATGCCCATAAAAGTCTCCCGCTCATAGTTTATATATTACATGAAAAACCCTTCTTATGCAATGATAGAGTGCACGCACTAAATCCATGAAAAATCTAATCACTAAGTTAACAMTATTTATTTGTAGTAAATAGCATTATGTATTTCACGGRCTATATGACTTCACGCCGTGAACAAAATTAATATAATCATCACCACAATGCTCATTTGTTAGGATTGTGATAAAAATAATAACTTTTGGTTATGATTACTATTACGATCACTTACAGATATCACAAACAACAGTAGCGTCTTGGTTGTGGTTGCAGTCATGAACAGACCAGCCATTATGGTTGCACATATTCAAGTTACTCTCATTTCCAAAACACTTAAGATTGTCCAGCCATATTTGACCTTTTCCAGGAAGAGTTCTGATTGACACGACTGCAGCGCCGGCATAACCAAGCTGTTTGCAAACGACCTGGAAATATTTGATTTGGTTTGGTATTGTAAGTGTATGATAATTATTATCATCATCATCATCATCATCATTACCTTTGCATCATTGAAATCCCAGCCATCACTGCAAACTGTGCCCCAGTAMCCCGCACGAAACACCTCTACGCGGCCTTCGAAAGACGACTTAAGTCCAGCAAGACGAACATCGTAGTTTTTRTCGATATGSGCAGCTWTGGAATAACAACCATAGAATATCATTAATGATCATTTCTATAACCTGAAAAATGTTTGTTCATTCAAAAGATTAAGCCATGTTCATGGAAGAGAACAGAAACGTGGTCCACTGTTGTTATGATACAATATATTGGCATCATATTGAAAATGAACTTAAATAACAAGTCGAGATTACGATTGTTAATTGTTGAAAAGATTCCTCTTCACATACGGGTCGCATGTTGGATGACGATAAAGCATTCCTCACTAGTTTCGCCTACCCCTTCAGCCATCCAACATGGCGGCGATAGCTTTGTTATTTATTTCTCGAGGGATTTTTAATCATGTGGTTGCACACCAAGAATACGATGTTTTGGCGATGCGTTATTGACAAAACACCACAGCATAGCCTCCCGTATTTAGACAAAAATGACAGTCAAATAGTGTGAATACTTACGTGTGTCAGGGTAGCACCGAGGAGAGAAGGATATGTCATCAATAGCGATATCACTGTCAAACGACAATCCCACACTAGCCTCCAATACAATCTARTAGAAATAGAGAAAATACACTTAAACCTCAATTAAGCGGTCAGTCCGGGGTGACCGTATAATAGAGGTTCAGACCGTTTAACAGAGGTCAAGTTTAAAGAAGTTATATATGAAAGCCGAGTTTCGGGAAACTGTTCGATGACCGCTTAATGGAGGGTGGCCGTTAAATAGGGGGTCGCTTAATAGAGGTTTCACTGTCGTCACATTGCTTTCTATTAGAAACATACTGTCATATTGRAGTGTTTTGCGATTAAGGTAGTGAGGATCAGACGACAACAGTGACAATGATGATGAAAATGAGAACAATTTTTGCAGGCTTACCTGAGAAACCGACCAATTAGTCGCTATAGGAACAGTTGCTACGATCCATCGGTTGCCTCGGTTACCAGTCTTTTGCCACAGGGTAGTATTTTYCCTAGTAATAGCGTTGCGTAGCACCACCTTCAGCGTGCCAACATTGTGATAGTTGCGAATGGACCACATGTGGTAGTAAAATCGCATCTATAACCAYAATATCAGTCTTATATAGATGTAAACCATCATCTTTATGGGCTAAGACTCTAGTAGTGTTTACTAACGTAGTTAATGGGAGGGGATCGACCAGTTTTAACTTGCATTGCTACCCGTGAATTTGTGTGGATGTGAAAAAGGGTTTTTTTTTATCACAGGAAAACGCGTAGAGCTACTTTTAAGAATGCACAGGGAACTATTTTTTTATCTTAATGTATTGTGAGACATTTTTTGATGTTTTATGATACAACATAACAGAAATGGCATTGAATATTCTCCTTCACGGTTACCTGCGCCATGTTGAAAGGTAGCCGTGCCTTTACATCGAAGCGAGACAACCGTTGGGCGTGCAATAATAGATACCTGTGAATAATTGTCTGTAGGTGTGAAAGAAGGTTTCTATCATTGCACACTCAACGGTCGTCTCGCTTCGATGCAAAGGCACGGCTACTTTTCAAGATGGCGCAGGCAACCGTGAAGAAGACTATTATAAATCTCTTAAAAGTTCATCGCTGACATCGTCAAGATCCCAAGGCAGTCTATTGATGGACCAACATACCTGACATCCGCTGATTCCTGCAAACATGTACTGCGGGCCAGCCAATCTTGCTATGTCCCCCTTCTTCCTTGGAGAAGAAGCCTCGATATAWATGTAGTGACCTTAAAATGCAACGCRATYACTGATTGGTTAAAYTGGYATGTGAAAAATATAACACCAACGCTAATTGGTCTAAAGTGCTTCATAACCCGCCTGATTCACTAGATTGCTGATTGGTTCTTAATATTTGTAATATATAACACAACACCCGATTGGTTACACTCAGAACTATGTCTCCTATATAACGCGATCATTGATTGGCTACTACTGATGTGTTCTACATATTGCGAATTCTTATTGGCTATTATTGATGTGTGGTGTATAARATGATTGCTGATTGGCTACACGGATATATATACACAATATAAAACTGTCTATGATTGGATAAATTGGTTTCATAGATTACCATTTTTTCCATATCCAAGGGTATGATCGTAATCTGGGCCTGTTCCTTGTGAYAATGTGCTGCCAGAATGTCGTCTAAAATCAAACACGTCGTCTGTTTCATTTTGCCAGTCGCAAAATCCTCCCTCAAAATTACAACGACCAGTTTGGTGAGWACCTTAAAGAACAAGAATTAACAGTGAAAAAAAGTTAAACCATCGTATTGTACAATGTATCCTCCTAATACAGTTAAACCTCTATTAAGCGGTCAGTCCGGGGAAAAACCAAGTGACAGAAGATATATACGACAGTCGAGTTTCAGTGACTGTACAATAGAGGTTGACCGTTTAATAGAAGTCAAGTTAACAGAAGATATATATGACAGTCGAGTTTCAGTGACCGTACAATAGAGTTTGACCGTTTAATAGAAGTCAAGTTAACAAAAGATATATATGACAGCCGAGTTTCAGTGACCGATTAATGGAGGGTGTCCGTTAAATAGGGGGTCGCTTAATAGAGGTTTCACTGTACTACAGGTAGATTTATAACGAGTTTATGACGTACCACAGTTTAATTCGTCTGAGCTATCCATACAATCAATCTTGAAATCACAGACATCATTTCTTGGAATACACTGGATTG